GGGGGGGGGGGTGGGGGCGGGTTCGCTTTCAGTTAACCATGTTGTGTCATTAACATTGTTTTTTTTCTGTTTTGTTTTTGGTGCTTATCAGGATTTGTTTTTATACATGTACAATAAGGCCCCGTCCATACACGTTTAGCTGTATACGCATACATTTTGTATCGTATAGGTGCTTCGTCCAGACGGATCCGGCGTTTTGGGAGAGTGAAACCGATATTTTTTGAAACCGGGTCCCAGAGTGGATGAATCTGAAAACGGCGCCCTTGCGTTTTCATGTGGACAGCGAATCCATATATTTTCTGAAACTATGACGTCATCAGCCCACGTCTCGCCCCTCGTCAGACACCGCTACGTCACGTAACGGCAGCAAAAACATGAACAAACACTGAATGATTGTCTTTTTATTAACTAACATTAACAGATTCATAAATGTATTGTTCCATGTTCGTTAGTATACCGCGTGCAAGGTTTATGCGCATAGTCCAAGTCGTCTTCTTCGTTTTTAGTGTATCTCTGTGGCAGAATTACAGCGCCACATGCTGGTCTGGCATGTATACTACATCGTTTTGTGTCTGTTTCGTGTGGACGCAGATATTTCTTGAGAGGAGGGGGGAAAAAAGATCAGATAGGGAAAGCTCTGGCTTCGTGTGGACGTAGTCTTAATATGGTTAGTTATGCGTGTCTAATCAGTTTTATTTTGAATGGTAGGTGATGGGAGGTTTCGATAGAGTGCTTTTAGATGCTCCTTGCTCGGGTACAGGAGTTATCTCCAAAGATCCAGGAGTAAAAACCGGCAAGGTAAAATTATTTTCTATTTGTGGCATTTGATATTGAAGCTTTTAAAGACCAGCCTTTATTCTGAAGACTTTTTGTTTCTTTTATGTACATTCTCCATTGAAACTTAAAATATCTCTCTGTCTCTCAGGATGAGGCTGATATTCTTCGCTCGGCTCACCTGCAGAAAGAGCTCATCCTGTCTGCTATTGACTCGGTCAATGCTGATTCTCCAACTGGCGGATACCTTGTTTACTGCACATGCTCTATTATGGTTAGTAATACATAGTCAGTCACATTGTTGCTATTATAGGTCGGCTGAAATGTAATTTGCTTTCGTTTGATACCCAGTATGCAGAACTGGTATTTAATAATGATTTTATTAATTATTTTTTGCAAATTGTTGTTCCAGTAAACCGTATAAGCTAAACTGTAGGTTTATATATTAAATATACATTTTATATATAAAGATTAGGTTTACACTACCGTTCGAAAGGATTGGTAGGATTTAAATGACTTAGAATGTCACTTATTCTCATCAAGACTGCATTTAAGTAAAAATACAGTACTGTAATATTGTGAAATTATTACAATTTCAAATAATTATTTTCTATTTTAATATTTTTTTAATGTTATTTTAAATGTAATTTATTCCTGTGATGGCAACGCTAAATTTTCAGCAGCATCACTCCAGTCTTTAGTGTCACATGATCTTTCAGAAAGAAATCTAAAAAATCCGATGGTCCCAAAAAGGCCAAAATTGCTAAGTTGGATGGTGAAGCATCCAAAAAGAGTGAGAAACCTAACAAAAAGCAGAAGGTAAAGGAACTGAATGGAGATTCAACAAAAGAGGTAGTGATGGTGAAGAAAGAGGGGAGCCCGTTTGAGAAGAAGAAAAACAAAATGAAAAGGAAGAACTTGTTGAAGAAGAATAAAAACAGAATGGGGAAAAACAGGTTTAAGAAGTTAAAAAATATGGTTGGACAACAAAAAAGTGGACAGTGAAATTCAGTCTCGTGTCACAGTGCATTGACATGGACCTGTATGCTCAGGACTGGGATCTGTGATTGGCTCGACACAAGACAGGAAGTTAAACCAATCCCAGCCTGCTGTTAGGGACTTAAAGATCATCCTTTAGAAATGTACACAATTATTTTGTGTATCTGTCTTGCTTCTCAAGACTTCTGTTATAAAATGTTATAAATGTATATTTCATTGTCCGTTTTTATGGATTTTGTTTTGAAAAAGAAACATTTATCTGAAATACTGCAAAGGGATGTGAGCATGTGGTCTGTTTTCCTGTAAGATCGAGCTTATTTCTTACACCTATTAAAAAGAAAGATTTAAAAAAAGAGGTTTGGGGTCTGAAAAAGTGAAGTCTGAAACGTACTGAGGCGATAACTAAAAGAGTGCCTGAAATGATATTTCACGGCTTGTCTCGACTCTTAACCTGAATTTTCCTTTTAGCCTTTCAGGAAGTCACCTCTGAAATCCGATCAAAAACTATTGAGGTAGAAGTGAAATCTTCCTTTGAGCCTGAGTGCATCACGACTGCTATTCAACAGCACCTATTGACTCCACTTTTCACATCGCTTAGCTCCCGCCATAGAACATTTATCAGCGCGCAAAAAGTTTTCTTGGGGTTCAAATGGCTAAAACGCTCAGCAGATGAACTTCAGCTGTGTGCGATCTTTCTTCCCACCCTTCTGGCCTGGTGCCTGTGTAACCATGCTAACGTACTTATCGCATTGTGAATCGTGATGCCCTGAGCTAGTACCCTCTGAACTGCGATGCTTTCTCTGTGCTTGCATGAAATCCTTCTGTCTCCACATAAGATGGCCCAAAACTTCATAATTATTGCCCCTTGTTCCTCCCAAAGCTGTTCTGTTGAAATGTAGCACATGTGTAGGCAAAGTGATTATTTTAATCACATTGCAGTCATTACATGCTAGGAGATAATTTAAGGTTGTGCCTGAAGGATAAATGAAGCCAGGCCTGTGGGTAAAGCGCTTTAGATCAGACTAGTTTGACACCCCACTGATTAAGTGGTATTGAAGAAGGGAAATTATAATGATCACCTGCCCGAATGATTGCAGGGGTAGAAGTGTCCAGTCTATTTTTAATAAAAACTACTTCCCTTCTTTTGTACAGTACAGAAAAACAGTATGTGGTGCTGGTAGGACACTGGCAATGACAACATGCATTTCGAATGTAGTACATCCAGAATACATACATTACATACAATATATGGAACAATGGTTGTGAAGTATGTACTTATTCAAAAGAAATATCTACACTTAGGTATGCGATTTCAGAAGCAGCGATATTCATGAGGGTCTATGATAG